CATTCTCTTGGGCTTTAATTTATCCATATATTAATGGAAAATACAGCAGTTTTGACTATTGCAATTCCACATCTAAATAGTCTTTTTTAATCTTGGCTTTCAAAATGCTCTGATTTTTCTATCATATGGCAGAGCCACATAACCCTCATATTTTATGAGTTTTCATGACTTTTTAATGTTTTCTTTCCAGTTCAAAATTGCTTTCTTATTATAAATGTAGTTTGTGGATTTATTAAGATGATCTCTGTGAACTGTGATGATCTGCCTCCTCCTTGGCCCAGTCGATTGACTTCTCCAGTTTCACAATCCTCTAGTCCTGCTCTTTTTGTCACAAATTTGTTTCTGGCTCCCTCAACTTTGTTTCCATTTATGCTGCTTTTCTGAAATAATATTCTGATTTTGGAAGGATAAATTATCATTACATAAACAGCAAAAGAAAGCATATTACATTTTTTCATCACTTTAGGGCACAACCCTATGCATGTTTGGAGAGAAAAATAGTCCTATAACTCCCAGCATTCCTTGCTGCCCGGGGAATGCTGAGAGTTATTAGGCTATTTTCTGTCCAAACATGCATAGGGTTGTGCCCTTAGTATCTGTTCAGAAGGAAGTAATAACAGCAGTATAAAGCTTGCTTCCTTCCAGACTGGGTAATGTACATCACTACAAAGCACCATATTCAATTGACTGAAAGGCAAGTGCCATGATGTTCAAATCACAACTTTTTCTTTTATTCTTCACACTTTGATCAGCATTTATGTCATTAAAACAAGCCTGGAACTCTGCAAGGTATTGTAAAGCAACCAGGGTGTGGTGACAAAGGAAAACTTAGGCACACCTCCCACTTCTACAGCTTATTTTCTGCAAATCAGACAGGTTCCTCCTTGTACTACTGTTTGTTCTTCCACCTCAGGCTGCATTGTAAGAACAGGACAACCACCTTGATGGAAACAGGTCCAAGGCTTATTGAGTCCAACAACCTGTTTCTCACAGTAGCTAACCAGAGGCCTCTGGAAAGCTCACAAGGAGGATCCGAGGATGCTAGTCCATGCCTGTTTTCTATGGGAACTAGTTTTCAAAGGCATGCTTAGTGGCATTATGTTTTATACTCATTAAAAGCCTCATTGCAGCATTCAAATCAGTTTTCTACGTGATTGGGGATATTGCATTTTTTCAGAGTGTTCATTTTGCTGGGTTTCAGTGGGCACAGAAAGATGCTATGGCTGGGCAAGGGGCAAGTTCATTCTACCCGAGTTGCTCTTTCAGATGAAAAAGTCAGAATGATCCCTAAAAATGTTATTCATTTGGCATTAAGCACTTACTAATTTAAGTGTGTCTATTACTACCCATGCTACCCATGAAATGTTAAAAGCAAATTGTTTTAACATTAGTTTTGGATTGGATGTATAGATTGGAAGAGTTACACTAGGGACACAAGAGCAACACATTGCTAAAATGGCACTTGCCAGAAATGGATTTTCCTTTGATCATTTTAAAATTAGTGTTATAAAATTAGAGCAATACAAAACTTGCATTAAAATTAATAGTTAAAATTATACCCAGGAAAGAGTTTCACCCTTCAAAAGTCCACCCTTTAAAAATATGGAAGCGTAAACTAAGGGCATCTACACTGTAGAGATTACTCATCTATCCTCAAACAAAGTAAGGTTTAATGCAGGGTACTTCCAGGCAAAGCTTCTATGATGTCATAGCCTTGCCTATGGAGGTTTACAGGTACCCAGATAATGCAGCCCTACTGTATTTTCTTTCCACTCCTTCTATTTATTCCTTAATGCAAAGTATCAGGGAGAGGGTTGCAGAGTGGTACAATTCATTCTGAAAAGTAGAACTAGCAGCTCTCTATCTAGAAGCACCCACAATAAGAAAACAGATGGAAGCAGCACTGGAAAACAAAGGATTATAAATGAATCACAACTTCATGTAAACTCTCCATTAAGTATGAGTAAACAAAGCTTGAGATTTCACACAGAAGTATACAGAAATGCCAAACACCAATACAACCATGAACCTTATTTCCAGACACCACAGTTGCAAGATGCAGACTTTTCCGTACAGTCTAGAAAAGCAAAAGCTTCCTTCATGGAAGCTCTCTCCAGCATTTCTGTGCTGAATAGTATCAAAAGCAGTTACAAAATCAAAATCAGGAGATGGCTTTAGAGGGTAAACATGTAGGGGTGAAAAAATGGTGAGAAGTTTTCAGTTAATGAAGCATGATGGGGAAGGGGATGAGGTTAGAAAAGCTGAATGATGGTTGGTAAAGTACTGTAGAAGTCACAGCATCCCACTGTTAGAGTGATATATACTAGTAAGGTATGTCCATTTCTTTTGAGAAACAATGGAACAGGAGTGAATAGAATGCCTTATGAACATCTATGAATGTTGCTAATGATGTACAGGCCAAAACAGGAAAGAGCACAGAATTCCCAATATCCAGTAGTATCACCTGTGTTGGTGGTAAAGGCCCCAATCTAGATAACTAGATGTGTAACAGCAGTTGACGGCACTTGGAAATCCAATAACAGCCCAGGCATAGAAGGCGTTGTAAGCCATCCAGAGACTTTTTTTTTTTTTTTTTTAGTAATGGACAGCGTAGAAATTTTTTAAATAAATGTCTAGTCCTGTCCTCCCTTCTTCTGTTGGTCATTGCTTCAATAGATTCAATAGGTCCAGATTCTGTGAATGCTTCTGAGCTTGTAGATCTATAGATTGGAGCCATGATCTCTTCACATCACCACTGATAGGCTTATTACTGGTCAAGCATAAGTAACAGTCCTTTCCTTCCCCTTTTCTTTGCCACGTTAATGATTAACTGGAAGATTAACATTAATTTAATGTTCCTCCAGTGCTTTCTGCAAAATATAGACTCTACTATTTAATAAGCACATTAATACTTTTAAAATGTAGATTATATTGACACAAATGGGCTCTTAAAATCAGCTAGTTACACAAACTAATCATAAGGTTTATCCCCACCCCTACCTTGCAGGACAAATAGCAAGTCCAGTGTGAGGGGTACTAAGGAAAAGGTGAAATACAGGCCTCACCCTGTGCTATAGTCCCATTCTGAATCATGGGCACTGCCAACTGCTAAATAAATATGAACTTTTAAATAAGCTCCATCAATGCCAATTAGGGATCTCCTACAATATGTACTGGAAGTGGAGGTTAAAATGAAGTAGTAGATTTGGACTACAAGTAAGCATGTGATGTTTTTGAACTCCTCCTACAATATCAGATTTTTATTTAGTTATGTTATCATTATTCATCCCTTCAACTATTCCTATCAACAGACTTGTTTTAGTGTGTATGTGTGTGTTTGAGAGAGTGAGAGTCAGACTTTGACCAATTTTATATAACAATGATTCTCTAGATATGTCTGAAGACCTTTTTTCATACCAGCAAAAGAATAATTATTGTCAGAATACACATCTGTCTGTGTCCATATCAAGTGCCTTTTTATATAGCTACCCAAGCCAAAGAATATCCCATGACTGAAAAGAGAATACAAAATCATTCTGCTAATATGCAAAAAGTACCCAAAGATCCTAAATACAAACCAAACTATAAAAATGGCAGACTGCATCCAACAGCTGTTGCTGCAGAACAACTTTATGCAGCTACTTATAATCAATTATCCCTTATACAAGGCTGTTCATGGCACTGGAAGAGATCTCAGTTCCTCAAAGATCAGGCAGGCCTTGTAGCTCATTGAAAAACTACTTGTGCCTGCTCTCTCTGTCTCCCTCCCTATTCCACACCTCTGTCACTCCTTGAGTATATTGCTGACTAGTCAAGGCCTGAAAATACAGTCCTGAAGGAAGTGGGGGTACACTGGAAGAGGCAAACACTGTACCCTGAGCATATGTCCCACTTGCCTATGGATGGACTGGTTCAGATAAAATTAATTCACATTAATGCAACCAGTATAAAAAAGAGCATTTTGCTACTGTATGTCCAATAAAAAATCAAAAGCAACAAAAAGACAAAGCTATAGGTTTATGCCTGGTCATCTTAGGAGATCTACGAGATAGAGATTTTTTTTTAAAGATTATATTGATATGTGATCAAATATCAATATATTGTATTTTCTTAATGTTTTTATGCTTATGCTGTAAAGTACATCTTAAGAACCACAGAATCAGCTAAAAAATTCAGCAGCAGCTCAACAAAAGAGGTTTATTGAAAGACAGGAGATAAGAATAGATCTGCCTTCCTCTATTCATTGTATTTCCTTTTGAGTTTGAAAAATAGAAATAATGCTCCAGGCTTTTTATGTTCCAGGTTTTTTAATGTGGCACAGCTAAATTATTGACTAAGCAAGATAAGGGAAGTCTCTTCTGTTGTCTCTACTGCCTTGTGCACTGGAAAATGGTGATTTGTCAGCTAACATGTTGGCAAAAATGGAAAAAAAATGTTTTATTGAAGAATATGCAGGGAAGATTTTTCCCTCATGAAAAAAGCAAGGAAAGAGACAGAAATATCAGTCCACATGTGAAGGAAATGAAAACTTGATCCTTTGTAAAATCCTTCCTTATGTGATCAAATATCAATATATTGTATTTTCTTAATGTTTTTATGCTTATGCTGTAAAGTGCATTCATCTTTGGAGTTATATATTCTAACCAACACATGCTAGTCTAATAGTTTGTTTCTCCAAAATCCTTTAAATCATATAAAAAGCCTCATATAATGCTTTTGTATCTGTTACAGTAAATAATTCCTTCAGGTTTGAAAATGGCTACTTATTTGTTTATTTATTTAGCAAAGAGACATATATAATGCAATAATGCCAATTCAACTGAGCAGTAAAGAACAAGCAATTCTAATTTTTTCAACGAATATCAGACAAGCCCTTGAACAATATTTTCACTATTTAAATCAAGCATAGTGATGCTAAGTAAGATGAAGACTAAACTAAATCCTCAACCTGTTACAAAGCATTCAAGAAAAAATTCCCTCAGATCATATCACATAGTTACCTGGTAGGTGATGTTAACAAATGGTGGTTCTTGAGAAGATGGGTAAGCTAGAGATAACCTCTTCCCATTTTTAGTGAATTCTGTTAGTTCAAGAAGTTGCAGTTGTAAGTCATTCAAGTTGCCACACAGTTGCTCCACATTTCTGGATATTTGACTCATTCCTTTTTCACTAGCCAAGCTATTATTTTTAGGAGAACTTAAAGTTTCTTGCATCACTTTATTAGAAATTGATCTACTAGAAAATCTAGTAGGTGTTCCAAGACCAAATAGAGCCACTGACCGGTTGATTGGTTCAGCATCCAAAGTTTCTAGAGCAATAGATGGGTCTCCCAAGTCTCTCTTTTCATCAAAATTACTCACACTGGATGATGAACTTTGCTCATAACTAGAACTCTTCATTTCTTCCAATATGCGTCTCCTTCCGCTAGGAGATTGAATAACTGTGTTACCTGTTTTTAAAAGCTCCCTCCCTACAACGTGATCTTCTGATGCAAGATTCTCAAAATATTTTCTTTTCCCAGGAAGGTTCACAGAAGGCTCAAAACTAAATGGTAAATTCTGAGTGAGTTCAGATTTTGCTGAGGAATCTTCTTCAAAAATTAATTCTTTGATCATCAGCCGGATAATATATTTATCTGAATTAGATGATATAATAAGTGCAGGATCAGTGAACTTCTGCTTGCCAATCAAAACTAGTAAGAGTTTATCTGTCAAAAAGGATAGACCTTTAGGTCGTTCATTTTTTTCTAGCTGGATTTGTTGAATGTTGGGCATACAGGATGATGTTACTGAGTAAATCAAAACAATGTTACAAGTGTTAGAAGCTATTGCCACAATCTGAGCTCTAAGGTCAAAGGCAATTATATCAGGGACCAAAATGCCTGGAATACTGACTTTTCTGGCTGTGGTTACCTTTCCTTCAAAAGTCACTAGAATCAAGTGTGAAGAATCTTGGCCAGTTCCTGAAGAGTAATCCTTCCTTCTCAAAGGAATGAGAGGACTGGGATCAGATCTCCGGTGGTTTGTAAGGATGTGAGTTAAATCAACCGGGCCGGATGAAGATGAAGTGACTGAATCAACTGCTACTGATTTCTCAGAATCTATAGACTTTCTTCTCAGATCCATAGAGTATTCCTCATCCCCAAGCACCAGTGTAGACTGTGAAGTTAGAGAACCTGTTTCATTACCAACTGGCAATTCAAATGTGATACCTGCATTTAAGCCACATATCTTATCCAGAGGAAGTTCAGTAGCCACAGCAATCTGGAAATCCAAAGTGGCTTCAATTGCACAGATATAGCCTCCGACATCAAATATTGGGCAAAAGGAACAAGCATTTAATGTTTTCTGAGCCTCATCCCATATATAGGAATGAAGAGCACTGCTTATAGCGACAACTAGGCGATTACCATCCTTAGTCCAACAAGCACAGTGGATGAGACCACTGCATTTGATATCTGCTTTAACCCTGGAGTTGTCTGAACGAACGGCATATAAAACTGATGCATCCCGTTTGGTAAGTACAGACAAAATGTCCCTCTTGGGGTGCCACACACAGCCCTGGGGAAGCAATGGGAATGGCTCACCAATTTCACAGGTCTGAGAAACAAGCAGCTTATTCTTTTCTGAGATACTGTGACTCAGCTGCCAAACACTAACATGCTTTTTATGCTGAACAGCAAGCAGAGCTGGTGTTTCAGCAGAACAACACGGGCTCCAATAAAGTCCATGGACATGTTCAAACTGTCCAATGATGTTAGAGTCACCAAACCTCAGTTCCTTGTTGTGAAAGCGCAATGCAGTCAGAGCCACTTGCTTGCCATCTGTCCATGCAATCCCATGCACAGGGTGGATGGCCTGATACAAAGCATTAAGACCAGTCCTCAGGAGTTTAGCTTTGCCAAGCTCCATTCTTGAAGCCGCTTGGTTAATGCTGTTTGCCCCAAAGTAGGAACTCCACAGGATTCATCAGAACAGCTTGATTAAGCAAATGCTCCTTCACTGAAGACCCAGCTCCTTGATGGCAATAGTCCTCCTCCACTGGGTAACTTTGCTGCTGCTCTAAGTATTCAGCTGTATCCAGGCTGCTTTAGCTATATCCTTTTGCTGGGAGGAGATTTCTGTCTCATGTGATGTCTAATAAGGTTTAACTAATTACTGTTCTCTTTTCTTGGAAGCCTATTTTTAACTCTTAAGGTCCAGGTTGATACTTAAAAATAGCACTCTAATACCTTCAGTGAATAAAGGTTACTTCATCATCCAAGGGAAGAAAGCTCCTACACACTGGAGAGTAATTTCAGTTACAGCACAAAATAATGACCTGACACTTCTGCTTTGACAACTGTTGAAGATAAGACTAAGAAGATTTAATCATATCCTTGAAGAATAAGGAAAGGCCAGTAATACTCAGTTTTGTTAGCAGATCCAAACAAATAATGAAAGTGGCAGGGAAATAAAAGGAAGAGCAATATAAACAGGGTGATGATTTCTGTAGGTGACTGATTGATTCAAGACTTTTCTTCTTCTTTAGCAACTGCCTTCTTACTTCATAGTCCAAACTGCCAAATCTCACTTTATGTTTTTTTAAAGAAAAAAATCTGGGCTTCAAGCTTCTTTGGAAGTCATTCCATGCTGAAGCACTGACATCTAGTCTGAGATGCATGTGGGCAACCTATGATTTCTCTGCAGCGCATGGCAGATGCTCTGCCCATATTCAGAAACAATCTTATTATTGTTGTTCTTATTTCTTTCATGTGAGAGTTGAAGTCTGACATTTGGACAAATCTTCAGTCTGAGAAAATGAATATTTCACACTATCATTAAAGCAAATGGGTTAAGAGGTTTTGCAATACATTTATTTACTGATTTATTGATTTATTTTAAGCTTTTCTAGCACGTCTACCACTGACATCTTTTATTGGCTTCCAATAAAAGAACAAATAAAATAAAGCAAAACAAGCACAGCATCTGGTAACTCAAGATAATAAAACCCTAGTTAAAACCAACTTGACATTAAAATAATGGAGAAATAAAAAGATTTTCGCCTGATGCTGAAAAGAATAAAGCGTCAACACCAGACAAACCTCTCTGGGGAGCATATTCCATAGCTGGGGCACCGCCACTCCTCCAGGTAGCCACCTTCCTGATCTAAGGAGGGCTCCCGGAGCAGGACCTCCACATCAGATCTCAAGGGGTGGGAGGGCACATAGGGAAGAAGGCATTCCTCAGGTATCCCAGACCCAAGCTGTGTAGGGCTTTGTAGGTCATCACCAGCCCCTTAAATTGGGCCCAGACTTCAATTGGCAGCCAGTGTAACTGATAGAAGACTGGCGTTATATGTGAATACCTGCCAGTTCCTGTTAACATCCTGGCAGCTCTATTCTGAAACAACTGAAGTATCTGGACCATCTTCAAGGGCAGCCCAACATAGAGTGTGTAGCAGTAATCCAATTGGGAAGTTACCAGTAGAGCAGGTGTCACCATTGCTAGGCAATGCTCATCCAGGTAAGGGTGCAGTTGGTGAATCAGCCAAAGCTGAAGAAAAGCGCTCCTCACCACTGCTGCTACCTGAGACTCCAGGGACAGCCTTGGGTAGAGGAGCACTCCCAAACTGTGCACTTTGTCCTTTAGGGGGAGTGCAACCCCATCCAGGACAGGGCTAAAGTCACCCGAAAGGCTGAACCACCCACCAGCAGGACCTCCATATCTCTCACACGTTGTAAGGAAAAAGAGAGTATTATGATGAACCTAGACAATTTCTAAACCAACTCAACAGAGCTGACTCTAACCTTTGTCCAGGTTTTACTCTGCCTTTTCAAGTTCCTCTCCCCTCATTGGCCCTCCTGCCCTCCTACCACCTGGTTCTCTGCAGTGCCTGCCCCTTTACACTGCTCTCCTTCCATTTTTCATTCTGTAGGATCTGTGTGAGGATTTCCCCCATCCAGATGGACCTTGTAGTTCCCTCACAGCAACTGTAGCTGATCTTTCAAGAATGCTTATTGTTAACATTCCATGACATTCTAGCTGTTGAGCCAAAGAAGGCAGACTCAGGGACTCCGGTCATATATGATATTCAGCAATCTCTTTTGAACAAAATATAGGAGGGTATATTTATTTGTTCCAGGAATTTATATCCCACTTTTAAAAAATCTGAAGCAAAATTTGCAAAGTAGCTAAAAATAACTATTCATAAAACAAAAATACTTTAAAGTATAACAATCAGTAAAAGCCCAATTGTGCAACTGGAGACCAGAAAGATACTTCCAGACAGTGAGGTCCTAACACTACCTTTCGATAGCACTACCTATCAGAAGACATTGTCCAGTGATTCTGCTTTTCTCTCTTTAGCAATGTGGGGTTTTTTGTTTGTTTGTTGGGTTGGTTGGTTTTCATTTTTTTTGGTGGTGGGGGGGGCAAGGGCTAAAATAGAAAAAAAAATTGTAATGGGAATACATAGAAGGGTTACACGTAGAAGACAGTGTTGTCTGAGTCCCCTGTAAAATTCCTTGGAAGTGGCATGATGATTGCACAAGAGAACTTTGTCTGAAAGCTCACTGGGAGCCAATGTGGCCTAGCAGTTAGAAGGTTGGTCTGGGTCCTGGGAGATCCAGGGTCTAATTCACCCGCTGAAGTTCATTAGGTGACTTTGGCCTAGTCACAGGCTCTCAGCCTTAGCTACTTCATAAGGTAGTTCTTGTGAGGATAAAATGGAGTGAAGGAGCAGCCTTGGGTTCCTTGCGAAAGGAAGAAAGGTGGGGCATATAATAATAATAATAGAATGCTAAATAATTAAAGCAGTACCAGTAATAAATATTAAAACAGTAATGAAAACAACTTCAAAAGTCCACAACAGATCACTTTTGTTGCGAGAATGATATCTTTTCAGCAAAAGCTACAATCCTATGCACATTTAATTGGGAGTCCATTGTGCTGAACTGAGTAGAACTTAATTCTCAGTCTGCAGACTGCAGAGTGCAGTATGAGATCTGGTGATTTCTTTTTAGTGAAGGGAGAAGCCATTTCTTTCCCATAGTAGAAGGCATTCCAAATGAAAAGCCCTCCCTCTGAGATTCTATTAACATTGTGAGAAATGAAAAATTACTGTTACTAGGTGGTAAGGTGAAAACTGAAGAAAGGGTGGAATAAAGGGCTAGGGTAGGAAATCATTGAAATCCCTTAAGGCCAAAGGGCCTGAGGATAGAACCATGTAGATAGTTGTAATAAAAGTAATAGTGCTTCTTACATCAAAGTCCTGAAAAATACCAGAGGGGGTAAAATTGGGGGGCAGTGGTAAAACTGTCATCTTTAGTGGAAGAGAGCAGGAAATTGATTGCCTTTTACAACTGGCCATAATGAGCCTGGAGGAAGGCCTGTTCTTCCTATCTCATCCTCCCACAAGATTTAAGAAACAAGTTGGCATCAAGTGAGAGGCTACAAGGCCAAGCCAACCTGTTGAACTCTTAGAAGGTAGTGCGCACACTTAATAGGTTCATGAATAGTAACTGACACACCTCTCATAGGTAATGGGCTCATTAGCATGAACATGGGATGTATGAGCAGGAGGGGGAACATATCGAGGGATAGTATGATGTAGGCAAACGGAGAAGATTGTGACTTCTTAGTAACCCAGCCAATGGGAGAAAAGCAGTAGGGTCTGCGAGCCAGGAAAAGGGAATAAAAAGCAATGTCTTGTGTGTAAACGGTGCGCTGCCTGTGTGGTGGGCGTCCACTCTTGCAAGAACGTATTAAACTATTACTGCTTGGTACTTTGCCTCCTGTCACTGCTGGTATTTCATTCCCTACAACATGGTGTTATGGCTTGTGTAACAACACAATTCTCTATCTTTGATCTAAGAAGCACACCAATTTACAAATGTAAAACCAGCCACCAGGTGGTGCCTCTTCTAGTTCCACAGGCACAGTTCTGGAACTGAATAAAGAAGATTTGCAAGTAAATCTGCAGATATCACCAGCTCACAAAATATTTGAATAGCTAGCCCTCTCAAAGTGACCTGCTTTAGTTATTACTAGCACACTCCAGTGACCTAAAAGAAGGGGAGAAAATTTGTCATGTCCCTCTCATTTGCAAACATGTGAGTAGTCTAGCTCCAATCTTATAAACATCATTGCAATATCAAGTTTACAACTACTGGATCTTCCAAAATGTCACTAAAATATAGGGGAGAAGGACCCCACCCCTTTCTTTTCCTTGCTACAAACTGTGGATTACTCTTCTTTGGTAAATTAGTTCAAATTTTATTTACTGAAACACCATGGGGCAAAATCCAATCAGACACCAGTGCTAATGTGCACTTTAGTGTACCAGACCTCTAGCACAACACCAGTAGTATCAGCTGGTGTACTAGGTTTTCTGCAGAATCCCATTGTGCCCTCTAGTCCTATTTCAATTGTGTTGGAGGTCTCTTATGACAGTGTGATGCAATTTATGTTTGCAGTAGCATGCCCCATGAGCATAATTATTATCTAAAATATAGTTTCATATTGAAGTCACACATATCTATATCAACCATAAACAAACATAATGGTAATGATGCTGAAATAAAGTAGAAGTAATCTTAACCCAATGGATTACTCCTTGATAATCATGTTTAGGATTGCAGCCTTAGCATGTAAATTGTGTTTAACATTTTGTCTAACTAATGGCTGTTACAGCACTTTGTACAGTTGGTCCTTGATATGCATCTGATTACATAGACATACAGTCTTCTAAAGTACAAAATGAAAAAGTTTTTGACATAACAAATGTAGGTTGTACACAGAGAACCAAGCAAAGCAAATGAATTTATGCTAACAAGCAAAGAATTTTTTTTCACTCACCCTTGCCATTCTGGATGTGTGTACAGAACATGCAATCCAAGCAGGGTCATTCTGTAGAAGGCCAAGCATTGCAACACAATATCCTCATGTCCAAATTCTTTTCTGAACATTTTTATCCTTGGGGGTGGTGTGTCAGAAACAAGACACATTGGAAGAAATTCAAACTAACCAGAGAAAACTGTCTGCTTTATTCATTTATGAAAGACTGAATGTACGTCAGAAACCAATGAATACTCCAAATGCACCAGTAAATGACTCAAGAGGGTCTCATTCAGATACTGAGACAGGCAGGCTCAGTTGCCTGAGACCAAGTATAGTATCTCAGGATGCAAAAAGAAAACGGTTAAGAGATTATCTGAAAGTGCTGCCATACCAATGTGTCCTGCACATGCGAAGCCAACAGATCCAGGAGATTCTGTATAAATTTCATGTTTTCCTCTTCCCTTCTTCAGCAGAGAGTTGCTCAATTTCATACGTGAAACTTAGGCTCACCTGCCTTGCATGGTCTCTTAAAGCTTTACTACTTAGTATTTCTGGGTGCAGACCCCAAGAAAACTTAAGAACCTCTAAGAGAAGGAGATTTTCTGTAATGGACGAAAGAATTTTCCATAACTGCAGTGAAAGCATTTTAACTGGAAGATTGGTAATATAGATTAAATATGTTATCTTTGGGAGGAATTATTTTTAAAAATGGAATATTTCTTTGGTGAATATGAATTGATCGAGTAAAAATATTTAAAGTTTCAAATAATATTTTAATCCCCATTTTATTCAATAGGGAGAAAGTGTTGGCAAATTAGAGAGCCTAAGTTGTAGATAATGAAGGCAGAAATTCAACAGAAACTGCTTTCTCAATTGCTTGCTATCTATGGACATTATCTTGTTTAGTAGTTAGAAATGAGAAGAAGGCTGTTAGTTTCAGTGCTATGCCTCTGTGCATTTCCTTTAAAAATAATAATCTAAATTAAAAGAAAAAATGGTTAAAGAGAAAAATAAGGCATCTGCAATTTTAATCATATTCCCTAGAACATTTGCTTCATGTCTGCTGTAAAAATGTCTCACAAAGTGTGCTATGTTACAACTTAGGATCCATATTTTGAAGTTGTTAGGTGCTGTGAAGTCATCTCTGACATATGGCAACCCTATGAATGAAAGCCGTCCAGAGTGTCCTATCCATGACAGTCCTGCTCAGTTCTTGTAAATTCAAGGCTGACCTTTATGGAGTCAGTCCATCTGTTCTTCATTCCATCTACATAGGCTTACCTGGAAGAAGTCCCAGTGAACTTATAGGTTGTTCTGTTTCAGTTTTTCAGTCCTCTACCCCTGTAGGCTGAGGGTAATGCAGAAGCTAAAGCCAACATGGCAGATAATGCTATCCTGGTTCTTTATTATTTATAATTTTATCTATTCAGGACATATTTTTATAGTGAGATCTCTTGTAATCTACCATACTTTTGTCTTAGAGGCAGGCAAAATGATGCCTTTTGAACTACAACTCCATAATCCCTTACCATTGGTCATACTGGCTGAAGCTGATAGGCTTCTCAAAATATCTGGCACTCATTCAGGGCCATAATGGAATGTTCAAGAGTAAAGTCAAAAGGGCACTTTTGGTGAAAATATAAGGTTACATAATAGAGGGTGACCAGAATTGTTCAACAGAAGAACCACATATGGTAAATGTCAGATGTTTGAAAGCCACAAGCAGGCACCCGTGGGTGGTGGGCAGGTGTCCATAGGCAGCAGCAGCAAGTAGTGTGGAGTGAGCCACAAAATAAACTCAAAAGAGCCACACATAGTGAGGGAGCCTCGGTTTAGCCACCCCATAGTAGAGCAATACTCTGATAAATGTATGCAAACATTAAATGTGATTTAAAACAATCTAACACAACACTTAAATTTAAAATGTCTAGATTGTGAGTGGTAGTGCGAGCATCATCAGTGACAAAAAACAGAACAATTTGTCCTGAGCAAAAGCAACCTCAGCTCACACACCAGAAAACCAGGGCTAATTGGAGGACAGGAGTGCCTGGAAGGGCAGGGGAGGCCTTCCCAAACTGAAACAAAAGTGCATTGAGAAAAGGTACGGCTTCCAACCATAACCCACTTTGGTCCCACCTGCTTTCAGCTTTGGCCCTCTCTACTAAAGGCTTGTGGTCCCTGGAAGGTTTCCCACAGGTGCTCCATCACTGGTGCATAAGACTGTGCCAATGATTTCTTTGTGCCTCCATATACAGGAAGAGTGGGCAGCAGTCTCTGGTATGCCATGAAATCCTTCCTTTTCAGCCTGCCCATTTATTAAGGGTGTAGGAGTTAAGACCAGCAAAGAGGACAACCAAGAGTTGCATGTGTTAGACACCGTAGACTGGGGCATCCATGAACGATTCAAGGAATGCACTATAAGGGCGTTACCCGACTAGATAAAAGCAAGCTCTCTCTCTCGCTCTCTCTTTGACTTCTGTGTATTTAGCAAGTCGGGATTAGGCTATTCCCTCCCCTTTTATTCTTTTCTAGCGCCAAGTGAAACATGACAAAAGCGTGAGAGCATAAATTGCGGAGAGCAGGTTAACTGCTGCTTCCTCAAAATCTTTTCTGCACACATGCCGCTCCCACTCTGAAAGGGATTCAGCTGGGCAGTATAAAGCAAGCTGCAATGCCACAAATGGGAAGCCAGTCATCCCTTATGTTCTGAAATAGTGTACATCAGTGCACAGGCAGAGAGTAAAGACGCTTCTGGCGCCACCCAGACTGCGTGAAAGACCTCCGTTCAATGCTGCTTCTCTGCTTGCGATCCTCCCAGCGGTTCGTATCCTTGCTCTGCTTTCTCTGGCGGGACGTCTCTGGCCAGGAGGCCAGTGCCCACAGCTGCAGCGTCCTTGCTGTTCTTATTTTCTGGCAGGCGTGCTGCAGAATTCTGCAACGGCTATTTTGCCATCGCAGCTTCTGGGGGGGAGGGCAAAGGAGGGAGCACTTGTCGTGGCCCTTTGCCCTGCCTCGACCCCAAGCTCCTCCGAAATCGTGTGGCGTCGGCGCCAGGGTGTAGGGACCCGGCATCTAAGAGGGAAAGCAAGCGCTGTTCCAAAGCACCTGCAAAATCCGACCTTGCAACAGACCCACGATCAGGTTAGGAGAAGCGGGCCGCGCTGCGAACTGAGCAGCAGCAGCCGCCGCCGCCCAGGAAGCCGGCTTTCATTCAGCTTGCAAGCGCTCAGCGGCGCTTTTACGCGCTCGCCTCCGCCTCTTACTCCAGGCTGCTCTGCCGTGGCTGCCCAACAAATCCGAATCAAGCGAAGCCGGGGAGGTCTGCGCCCGCCCTCCCTCCGCGAGAGCCCCGCCTTTCCTGTGCTTCTGAGCGGGGGGGATTGGATGGAGGAGCTGGGAGCCCCCCTTCCCACGTTGCCATTGGCCAGGCGCGCTGACGGACAGCTCGGAGGGCGCTTGTCCGCCAGCTGGGAAGGCGGGGAATGCGCTCGCTGGGCGGTCTGGCTGAGCCGGGTCTGAGGCGAGCCGAGCGCTGCTCCTTGGAGGGAGCGGATCCGGCGGGAGGACGTGCTGCGTCCGGGGATCGCTGCCATGGGTGTGGAAGTGGAAACCATCTCCCCAGGAGACGGTGCGGTGCCGGTCCCCGCCTCCCTCCTCCTCGGGCGTGGATTGGGGGGCGCGGAGACGCGGGGTGAGGTGCGGGTGGGGGCGCGGAGGAGCTCGGCGTGCGCGCCGCTGCAGGGGCAACGGGATAGGTGGCGAGAAAACGTGTGCGAGGGAGAGCACGTGAAATAGCTGACTTCGGAGGAGGAGATGCGGGGATGGTTTTGGGCAGGGAGACTACATTGACGGGAGCGGGGGGCGCGCTTCGAGCAGATAATGTGGTACATGATGCCGGGGGGTGGGGGTCTCAGAACATCAGCCCCACGCTCTGCGCTGGGAGCTTCAGACTCCTGGACGAAGCGCCATCGAGCAGCAAGGAACGTGGGTCTTTTGGCCGCCCGGGAGCACCTCCACCTGTGCGCCATGCTCCGGTCCGTCGCTGGGAGGGCTTCGCTGCCCCTTTGCTCTGGCCCTCTCACTTTCCCTCCCTCGCCAAACTCGTGTCAAGTATCTTTCCGCTGAGCTGCGGTTGACAAAAGATCTCGTGGTTTCCTGGCGCGGGTCCGGTAGGATTTGGCCGATGTTCGGCGTCCGCGTGAGGGAGCGTGCGTAGGTCAGTGGGTGACTGCTCGGACATCAGGAGGCGCACGCAGGAAAGACGAGCGAAGGAGGGACTCCGAGTGCCTTCAGCAGATCAGTGCCACAATGTGCACGACCCCAAAAGTGCAGAAGCAACAACGCAAGGGAAGTGGCGGTGGGAATCCCCTTCCCCTGCTGCCGGGCAGGAGGCGACTTGAGAGCCCCTGATGTGGAATATGGTGGGGGGCGGCTGCACTGAGCAGCGTACCGAGGGAAAAAGCCGAGAGGGCTCTGTTGGATCAGAAGGCTGCAGTCTTCTGCTTCTTTGGCAGCAAGCATCGGCAGCCGCAAGCGATTAGGGATATTTAAATGGCATTTGCTGACAGCTGCATAAATCCAAGTGCGGTGAAGTAATTTAGTAACAAGAGCAAATTATTGTACACTGCACTTCCCTGCTTAAAATGTGATAGTCACCCTTCAGCAGACAGGGTAGGCTTGCTTTGCAGGGCTAACCTGGAGAAGGGTTTTTTCCACACAGCCTCTGCTGCAGCTGCACCCCAGCAAAGCAGTGAACTTCTGTGAAAAGGGAGAAGGATAAGCGACTGGAGATAGGCAGGGCTCTGTGATGGATGATAACATCCGTAGCCACTCACTGTTTTGCCAAATTCTTGCCATAACGGAAACATGCATTTGCAGACACCTTCCTTTTGTGGATGGCTTGTGCTGTATGTGTGGAGGCGGGGTTGGGGGGGTGCTGGATGCAGCTTTATGTTGGTTTATTTGCTTTTAATAAAGCCTGAAGACAACTAATATTTTATTGGAATTCAGAACCAAAAGGTACAATGTGATCATTGAGCCTAACTCAGCATAGATGGGGATCTTGCGGAATCTCCAGAACTTTGCTCCTTCTGAAATAATCACAGCTGTTCAGCCTTTGCTCGACTTGCAGCCCCTAACATCATTGCAGTATGTAATGATTAATGTATGGATAGGCTTCTTCAGATTTTGGTCGGAGAATCAGGATATCAGAATGGATAAAGCAGCCTGTGGTTAATAGTCACAATGGTTATATGTCACCTCCAGGTTCAGAGGCAGCGTGCCTCCAAATGCCAGTCATTGGGAAAGAATAACAGGATAGGAATATTGCCTTCATTCCCTGATTCTGGGCTTTCCAGGGGCACCTGGATGGCCACTGTGGGAAACAAGATGCTAGACTAGAGTGGCTTTTAAAGTGATGCAGCAGGACACTTCTCATCTCTTCACTCCCTGTTTCAGTGAAACTACCTAAATGTCTTTTTTTACCAGCTACCCAGCAAGAGAAGTGGTGCCAGGCATCATGGCACTGATGCCACATCCCAGCACCAGGCATAGGACCTGTTTGCATGATTAAGCAACCCACTCTAACTTATTTAAACCACTCCTGTGCTGGTGGCCATTTGGAATATCCAGAAACCAGCATATTGTGTTATCTTGGGGATCAGTTTCTTACAAGAGGAAGAAAGGCGGGATGCACTGTAAATAAAATGTAGTAACAACAACATCTGAACCTCGCAGAGTAGGTTGTGCAAGGGATAAATAACCTTTACAGAACCCATAATGTGTTTAGAGTTAGGGTTAGGGGTTAGGGTTAGGCTACCCTTTGAGCATCTTGAAATGATGCATACATTTAGGTAGTCTCCTTCCTGACCTGTTCCTTCTCAGCAGCTCTCTTTTATCTTGGTTATCTTTGTTAGCCTTCCAAGTCAAGCTCTGTTTTCTTAGGGCGGTAGTTCTCCAACTGTTTCTTGAAGAATTCTGGAGTTCTTTGAAAGCCTAGTCACAGTTCTTCATTAAGAAGATCCATCATGCTGTACAGGCTTTCCAAGTAACAGCTTGTCTACAATTCCCAGTGTTCTATTACAAAGTGCAAATTACAGGGGGACTCTTGGACATGTTCCAAGCCAGGGCTGAACCCCCCCCCCCACGATGCTCAGTGCAAAGAAGGTGCCTCCTGGAATATGCACCACAGAAGGTACAGAAGATTCACAAACAGGTAGATCTGGAAAGTGCTCCCTGAAGGGAAGGATTTCAAAGTCTGAAAAGCAGAGCCTGTACGGTCAGTAATAAGAGAATGGCACCAACTGTGTTACTTTAACTGATGATCTTTGTAAACTGTTGTCTGTTTTTCTGCTGCTCTGTGGGAGGATGGGGCTAGCAGAAGCCACAAGTCCATACCAGATGATGTCCCATTTGGGCTCTGCCTTCTTGTGACTTATCCCCATATTCTTACATTGGACTGTATTTTTAGCAAGAAAACCCAAAATATCCCCTTGCCATTTCATTGTTTACTGGCATAGCTTTAAATATGAATCTGGGTCGGTCCTCAGTTTAATAATAGTGTCTTTTCTAAAGAGACACTGAATAGCATTTTTAAAAATAGCTTTTCAATATTTTCACAGGAAGGACATTCCCAAAGAAAGGCCAGACATGTGTGGTCCATTATACAGGTAAGTTCTATTATAAATAGATGACTCTGTGCTTGCAACTTTTAGTCTTACATTTGTAGGCAAACATCTATCCATATTACTTGGTGGTGTGATATCCTCAATGTCCAAATAAACCACATCTCCAAAAACACATCCAAATGATTTGGATATATAGCCATGATGTAGGATAACTGAACTTAATGTCAGGTATGTAAAGTACCCCAACCTTTCCAACCTGTGCCCCCATTCCTAAACTTCTATGGGGAAGATTCTGAATTGGGATGGATTACAGGAAAGCTGCAGTCTGCCTTTTCATGCCTTTGTAGCTTGAAAGGGAAAATGAAGCTCAATCTCTCCAGAGAGCACACATGATTCCAGTGTTATCTTTCTGCTTCCCATCCTCTACTTTCTGCCCTTATAGAATTTATTTATTTATTTAAAGTTTTTCTATGCCATCCCATTACTAAAAGTCTCTGGACAGTTTACAAAGAACAAAAAAGCAAAGAACAAAGAAACCACAACAACACACAATACTTGTGAGTGGGGGTCATTGATGAGGAGAGATAAGCAAGGATGTATCTTTGTGTTCTAGTGTGTTCTTGACCATCTTCAATTGGTCAAGAGCTGGGACAAATCTGCACTGTTTGTTATATGTTTTAATACTGTTATAAGTTACTTTGATTTTTTTTTTTTTGAGAAATGTGGCTAATGAAAAAGGGTGGTGGTGGTGATATGGCATGGCATTCCAACCTAATACAAGATGTACGCTGGTGTGTTTTGAAATCCCTACACTGCTTCTGGCCTTCACACTGTTTATTTTAACTAGTTTTGTTCTGTGTTATGTTTTAACATTTTTATATCTAGTCATTTCTTTTCTGGTTTTATGTCTTGCTTTGTGAAGCCCTCCAAAGAACTTTGGCTACTGAAACATAACAAACACACCTGCAGTCAGAGACCCACTTCTGAGAGCCCACATGCTGCAGGGCAGAGCACAGAAGTAAAGCGGTGGAACATGCACCTCTGGCAAATAGATTGATGCTGGCACCCTTGCAAACAAGCCAGAATATTTAGGAGAAGCTATGTTAGTTGTCTGGGGAATGTATATGCACATGCCTGGGGGAGAGAGTGTGTGGAAGCCATCACCCCTGTCCCTCCTGCTGATGGGTGAGGACTCACTTTTCAGTGAGGACCAGCCCCCGTGGCCCTGGGTGAGGGCTACTCTCTTTGCACCTTTCTTGCCTGCTTGGTGACAGACATCTGAACAGGAGATGTAAAGGTGGGAAACTTGCACCAACCCTGTTTAATGTTGTCATCTGCAGTGAATTAAGACAGGGTATCATTAGATGTACATTTCAGTGACATTGCATGTTTTTGGAAGTAAATACTCTTCCACAGATGTTTAAGATCAGTCTTTTTACATATTGTGGTTATGCTGTACTTTTACAGTCCAAGGTTTTGCACGTTCAAGTATAAATATGAATGTGCTTTGGTTTCACTTCTCTTCCCCAGCATCAGGAAGCTGCCATAAGCCCTGAAAGGAGGGAGCATTAAAATTCTAGGATTTCTTTTTGAAAGATAGCTTACGAACACATCGACCAATTTGAGAAAAATGGTAGAAAGGCAGATCCTGGCACAGCCTGTGTTATTCCAAGCAAGAATCACTGAAGACCTCAGAAACCATGGCCTTGCTTTTATCACGTATCCTGTCCCAGCATTCAGGACTTAACTTTTTTGTACCTTCTTTGCCTCAAGGACTACTGAAATTTCCTGCTGGCCCTGTGTGTGTGATTCCCAGGAAAATCTGTTGGTTCTCTTATTTGGAAGGGTCTCTATCTTAAGGATGTGGCTATTGAGGCAGCAAAGAGTTACAAGTTATTTATTTATTTATTTATTTATTTAAAACATTTCTATGCCGCCCCCATTGCAACAAAGCCTCGGGGCGGCTCACAACAAAACATTACATAAAGGCTGCTGATATGCCCTATTTAAATGGCTGTTTTCTCCCATTCCCATTAAAGATAAAGCGCTCTGGAAACTGTTGTCCATCCGCAATCATTAGCCAGACCCAGATATGGACACAGGTCATGTGTTCACAGTCTTCTATGGTGAGATGTAACCTATTTCTGTTTTAATAATAATGCTAACAACAACAACTTCTAAATTTCCATCAAAGTTGCTTTGTCCTGAGCAAACTTAGAAAATATGACAACAGTGGAACATGGGGCAGTGGTTATATTCTAACTTGGTCTTGGTTTTTTGGCTCTTGTAGTATTTCATTGCACATCATTACACAGCTAGTATGAAACTACAGTGAAATTACAGCAACATTCACTAACCTGGCTAGGGGTCCTAGAAGGGGCAGTCTGACACCTCTGGAGGGCAGCAGGTGGAGAAAACTGAATTACAATCAATGGCACCAGAGTAGCCAGCAGGGAAGGAGCAGGTATTCCCCCAGGCAGTAGCTTGCTCTCCTGTCGCCACTTTTCAAATGTTCTGCCCCAGCTGTGAAATGCACTTTTTCCTTCTGGTGTACCTCCCTCCTACTTATTTCTGGAACTGCCCTCTGCTAATGGTTGGCTGCATTTTTGTGCTACTGAGGAAAGTGCCAAAATCAACTAGCATTTCTTCCACTGATCAATGAACCCTGTGATGAATAGTTCCTTTCTGTTCATAGTAAATCAAGCTTGGTCAATGCAGAAATGATTTTTTTCATTCAGGAAGAAAGTGGGGTGCCTTTAGGAACTGAATAGTAAAAGTCATCTTTCATCTATCTAGATGACATTATAACAATGCAGTATGAATAACAGTAGGAAAAAAACATTAATGAAAATTACACTACCTGAGATGCTATATTCTGCCCTGGTAAAAACCAGCCAGCCAAAATATGCCTAGCTGTAAGAGACTTGCATTTTTGTTCATTTTTATGAAGTCAGTTTTTATTTATTTATTTATTTATTATTTGCATATTTATAGCTGCCCATAACTGCCCAAAGACCTTCCTGGGTGACTTACAGCATATTGAACATATATATACACACACACACATAGGAAATTAAAACTTATTAAACCACTTAAAAGATTAAAAACAGCAATACAATAGCAATATAAAAAGGCCACCACATTCATAAAGGCTAACTATTAATTTTTTTGAGACATCTGGTAACCCTAGGTGGGATGTTTCTTTGTATGGTAGAGTGTTGCAGTTTGTTTTTTATTAAGTCATCCATCTCTTTAAATTACCATGTCGTGAAAGATGGAATACGTCTATTTCTGTGATGATCTGAGTGGTAGTTGGTCTCTTATGAAAGTACATTACCAAGTGTTCTCTGTTTTCTTCAGTGAGTCGTGACAGCAAAAAGCACTTTGCTTGCTCAGCATAAAACCTGCTCTTCAGAGACTTTACAGAGGCAATTGGTTGACTTGAACAGTCTCAGTGAAAGTCACTAAAGATTCCCTTTTTGCTTGTTTAGTATTCACTGGTTACTTTGAGGGAATTTTTTAATGGAGACTGAAGAAAATACCATGAATAGATAATGGAGCTGAAAAATAAGCTCTGTTGTGAGTCATTATATCAAGGCAAATAATTGCTGTTTTTTGCCATTTTTCTATATTTCTCTTTTATGGTCAATAGGGATGGATGATAGCTAAAATACCAGAGCTTGCTGTTCTTATGAAAATAAAAGATGCTTGCTTCTACATTTTCTCAGATGGTTACATGATGGAGAGAAAAATAGCAGAAAGGTACCAACTATACGGAAGCTATGAATAGCCCGTAATGTAGATCCCTCAAAAGAAACAAACAAGTTTTAATTATATAGTTTCTGTGCTGAAGTATATCAGAGCAAAAGCAAACATTACTTGAAATCTGACTCATTTTTCCCAGGTTTTAGGCTAGAGTAGATGTAGCTCCCCCATCCCAATATTAAGGTTCAGTCTGGTAGGTACAGTCTCTCTTACTGTAGAGTAAAATAAATACAAAAAGACAATATGGATTTAAAATAATCTATGTTTTGGCCATTTCTGGCTGCCTTTCTTTGTGTGGTTTATTGATATGATAAACAGTATAGAACCTTTGTCGCCAGGATGCCATTATGTTTGTGCTTTGCAGATGTTTTAATGAGGAACCTAAGATCAAACTCAGTATTTACTATCATTCTGTATATCTGTATTTCCATTTAATCCCATCAGTTTACAGTCGTTCTGTATTCTTACTGGGGAAAATGCATTCTGGGATCCCCAGAGGGCTATGCCCTTTTTCCCTAACCTCCACTCATTTACTGGTTCTCCAGCTTTTGTGCCATTTGCTCACCATTCTGAAAGGTTGAAAGGCCTCCCCAAGCCTTAGTAGCTTTAAGAACATCAAGCTACAATATGCTGGCTTTTTAATATTTTTGGTCCCATCCCTTGCACCTTTGGTCTCAACTCCTGTTTGCTTTCAGCCCCACTCACCAGTGGAATGTGACCTCCAGGAGCTTTCCCATAATGGAATTTGGCCTCTGGTTGAGAGATGTTCCCCATCCTTGCTATATGAATAGCTTATCCATAATATAAAGATACTTTCTATTATGGCTTTTCCTCTGATAGCAGCTCTCCAGCATCACTTGCAGTGCTCTTTCCCAGACTTGTTAACTTTAACTGCAGTGGCCATTGTCCCTGGCTATTGGCTATGCTGGCTGGGGATGATGGAAATTGTAGGACAAAACATGGGGGGCATATTGGGGAAGAGTGGTTTATGTGTTCAGTGAGAGGTATGCAGATGCAACTGCATAGATCACAGATGAGAGAGTCAGTGTGGTGTGCTGATGACTGGACTGGGAACTGAGGAGATCCCTTTGGACATGAGGCTCACCCACTGGGGGACTTTGGGCCAGTCACTCACTCTCAGCCCAGACAACGCTCAACAGAGTTGTTGTGAGCTATACAAGCTATGAAATTGGGCTAAGCAAGCCACCTTGGGTTCCTCACAAGAGAAAAAAGGGAGGATATAAATACAGTCTATTAGGGACTTATTTATGGCAAAT